GACAGATGTTGAAAATGTTATAATATCTGATACTTTCCAATGTATTATGGGCCACCTGGTCCTTATGATGACCAAGTACTTAGTTCTCATGAATTTAATTGTGTCAGCAGAAAACATGAAAAGTATTATTATTGCAACTTCTGTGCTCAAACTGGAGAACATGATCTAAATACACAACATGAAATATTTCAAAACAGCCTCCCTCCACCAAAAAGTAAGAATATTAAAATAACACTACCGCATTTGGAATCGGCATCGCCTGTTGAGAACAAAAATAAAACTGTTGAAAACCTAGCCAGGAACAACACATAACAAATTAAGATCACAATGCTTGAATGTTTCCATTAGAGAGCCTACCATAAATTCACTTGTGAGCGTTGGAAATGGGAACTTCATTAAACATACTTAGACAAAGGGAAATACAACAAACATTTGAATGTTAAATCGACTAAAAAGTGTCCCAATGTATAAACATGTATAAAAATGTGTAAACAAATCATTTCAGGAACTTTAAAAAGATAACACATTTACATCATATTTTGCATTCTAAACAGTTTTATTAGCCACAAAAACAGTTTAGCTGTCCGCTAAAGCCAGACAACACTAATCTGAACACACACATAAAGTACTTCAAAGCTGATACAAATAACTGCAAAAAAAATGGAGGTAGAGGGTGGGAGAGAGAGGAACATAATTACTATTTTGCACCACTGTCAAAAACATTCATCCTTTTTATGAACTTCTTCCCACTTCTCATCCGCAAGCAAAGAAACAAGAAATCTATGAAAAGTGCGGAAAATTAAAAAAATCAACCAAAATTAGATTTTTTGTCTCAAATAATGCTTCTACCAAATACTAATCTGTGAATATCCCCTACTGTATGAATGAAAAAATTAAAATTAAGTAATGCTATGATAGCAAAACACTAAAAATATAAAACCAAAATTATAATACTTACCCCTCCAGATTCATACATGTTCTTATGACTTTGTGAAGGGATGACTTTATACAGCAGAATTTGGGCCTGTAAAATGCAAACAGAATCTATCCTGACTAAACGTAGGATTCAAATTACATAGTAAACATACTTTAAATTTTCAGTTTGCACATAATGCATCAGGGATTAATGTGGCTGGAGTGGTGGTAATTTTAACTAATATAAATACACTGTTAGTGCAGCTTTGTCATGAGAAGATAGAGATTTGGTGTATATGAAGCCAGATTAACTGAAAATTTTGTATAACAGCTCCCTCTGTTGGTAAATGGAATATAAATGTTAGCCTCTTCTGTGAGATAGATTTTCTTCTACCATAGATCTTTAAGTGGATAATTATATCAGATTGAATACTCCTTCTTAACTTAAGCAAAGTATGTAACTACTTTTGTTTCAACATTTCAAGAAATTGGTTCTCATGTTTTAACAGATGATGTCAGCTGGCAAGTTTTCATGGAACATCTCAAGGAGCTAGCTGTTTCTTCAATTAATGTGGAAACATTTGCATCCTGAATTATTTATGCTTACAGTGTATTCAAACTGTAGCCAATGTAACTAATAAGGTCTCCTTTCCAGTAATTTAAAATTTAGTTTCTTCTTAAATTCAATATACAACCACAGTACAGTGGAAGATTCTGATAACAACTGTTCTCATAATCACAAATTAAAGCATTTTTTAGACAGTTTTGAAATGGACAGAAAGGTTGTTATCAAACAAATTAGGTAAGCATGTGAACTGTTTGAAATGTTAGTGATAAATGTACTGTGTGTGTGTGTGCATGTGGGGTTGAAATATGGATTACAGTTATTAATTTTATACTTATAATACCATTACAGGATGATAAGATAATGATACACATGTTCATTACTTTTTACACTATTTACTTTACAGTTACTTTAATAACACTTTATTATATTGTTAGGTAAGCATGTTTGAAACATTCCACTACAGCAGTGGATTTGACTCTTTACAGCATACATATTACCTTATTATCCCTTCGCATCCAGTATACACATTTTAAAATTATAAATAACCCTACCTCTCCATGGTAGATGAGTATATGAAAGAATGTGTCCAGAAGGAGAATATGGTCAGGCTGCATACTGCTACTGTCCAAAGGTACAAACTTGGGTGGCCGTTTGATGCTGTAGCTGTATAGGATGGGATGGATCATAGGGAGAGATTGGGCCACATCCTCTCTCATTAACATTTGTCTGTAAAAAAACTTCAAATGAATTCCTTAAACAATGAAACCTACATGTAATGACTTACTTATAAAAAGGTCATGTCCCTAATCTAATTAAATAGGTAACAAGCAAGCAAACAAAAAAAATTAAATCTGATATGATACAAAGCCCTCAATTTGATCCCATTTGATCATATGTTATCCCCTGTCACATGAGTTCCTACAAGAGCCTTAACCCTCAGATTTGAATCACCTGTAGGAACCCATGTGATCATTGATGACACACTCTTCTCCGCTGCCTCATTTCGGCCAAAAGATGTTGAGTAGTTCATACATTCTTGGTATGAATGTGCATTGGCATTACATTCTTCAAAGTATCATCACACCAGTTCATCCTCATTAAATTACAGCATGAATGGTTCAAGAATTGAAAAGATGCAATCTCTTTGATGTTATTGCAATACCAAAAGAGACCGTTCCACAATCGTGCCTTCTAGAAACTTTGCTACAGACACTGTGCTGTTTTATAAGTCAACAAAGTTGCTTAACCGTTACCAGATTTCTTTACAGCCCAGGAATTATTATTTTGAGAATCCACACATGACAAATGAAATCAAATTACGTCAGTTCTAAATGTAGGTCTCCGGGATGGGGAACAGTCAGATGACTTTGAAACCAATCACAATATTCCATGCACTTCCTAAAATCTAGAACACTAAATTGATAAACCATATTTACATTGCCTCACAATGAAGAACTGTTCTACAAGACTACAAGTATTTGTTTATGCACAACTGTTTGAAGTTTCACTAAGAATGAAAAGACAATACTACGTATCTTCTGCCACTGAACGAGTGTTCCATTTCATCCACGTCACATAGTATTGAGACATACTACACAAACACTTCTGCTATGGATACAATTAATAAAAACAAAAAAGTGAAGTCGACAACTAATCTACTTGAACATTCTGTTTTTCTTACCTGTAGTAGGATGTTTCATCAGGGCTATTAAAAGAATTTTTGAGAAAATGTGACCTGCCGTAGGTGATACATAAATTGTGGATAAAGAGTGAAGTTCTCTGGTAGACGGAAGCTGTTTGGATCATCTTTTGTATATTCACCAAACTTCTGACACTATGGAAAACAAAATAAATTTATGAATTACATTTATATATCATTTAAATATATATATATACACACACACATGCATATAATTTATTGTATTCCTGAAATTATATAACACATACAACTTTCCTCAACATTTTACTTACAAGTTTTATGAGCATGTAATCTGCCCATCGTAACACATCTGGCCCATCACCTGTCTCTGTTCTACACAAAACCATCCTGGCCATTAACACAGCTGCAGCTTTTTGGTTGAATCCAGCACTTATATGACGCACATTGGTTGAAGCATCTGCCAAACTTGAGAACAAAAGAACTTACAACATACTGAATTGTACAGACAAGAAACACTTTCCCCGTATAGCATAATGTTATTTATACCACCATTTTCACCTCACAGTTTCAAATTTTGATTGATTCCCTACAGTATGACCACACATTGTAGGTGAAGACTAGTGGGTAGCGATTTGACTGTACAAGTTTCAATAATCTGAGGAAAACAGTTTACTGCTCCGACAACATGATCAGTAGACACAGAAAATTTTAAGGAAACATATGAGTAACTTGCATAAACCTTGTGTCCACAGTTAACATTATAGATTTTTAGTTATACCTGGCGGCATTACAAACCAACCAACCAAAGTATTTGCCTAAGAAACTATGAAGAAAAGTTTGTAAATGAAATTAAGCAAGTCCTTCGCAGTAAGACAAGAATCTCTACTATTCTGCACACAAAGCCAACATTTACACATACAAAAAGAAAAAGAGGAAGAATAAAATTTCCAGTTAAGAAAGCAAAGCAACTTTAAAGATGGACATTACTTACTTTCTAGCTATAGT